TAATAATGGATGATAGGGAGAAATTATTATTCTTGGCAGCAAATACTTTTGAACGGCTTGTGATTGGAGGTTGTTTTCACTATAATATCAAAACGGTAACCACCAAAAAAAAATAGTTTCTGTTTTAACTGATGAAGGATTCATAAATACCTGATTTCCTTTTGATAGCAAAAAGATTAAACGTTCTCAACACAATTGCATGTTTTGTGTGTTTATCAAATTGAATTGGAGTTCTTTAAAAAAGAAAACTTAACTTCTCTTGAAAATGACTAAGTCAGATATTTTACCTTATATGTCATCATGAAAAGTAACTGGTATTATAAAAAGAATAACTGTAAGATGACTTAAAACACAGGTCCAGCCCTATGTCTATAGGGCATATATGATTTATTATATACATATTGCTTTTATATTATATATAATTGTCCATATAAATCCTGGAATTAAACTGATATAAACCTTTTTCATGAATCTTGGATCCTAAAAAATTAATCATTGAGACAGGAAAGCAGATTAAGTCAAACTAAGCGTAAAAAAGATTGATGCTTACTCTGCATTCCGTCTGGTATGGATGGTTGGAATCCAGTGAGGAATATTTTTGTTTCTGTCTGGTGTCTGAAAGTCTAACCCGAGGGCCTGTCTGTTCTTCAGGTTGGAAGCAGTCTATGCAAAGTTCGGCTTGATCTCCCAGACCGCACTGATGACAACTGGCTGGCAAGAATCTAGACTCTTCATCTTAAAAGGTATTCCAATGACTTTAGCACCAGCAAAAGGAAAAAATATGCCCCTGACTTCCCAAATCAGAAACAAACAATGTCTCCAGTGGGAGAAACATTATAAACCAGGATATGTTCTTCTCACTCTGTTCTTTAAAGATGGGAAGCTTTGAGAGATCAAGTATCATTATTCAGTTCTATGAGCCCAGTTGCTTGTTAAGAGATTGCTTTAAGATGGCCGATAACATATTTGCAAAGTTCACATGTATAGAATGGATAATTGGAGAATAATGTGGCCTAGTAAAATGTTTTGAGAAATGGCTTCTAAGTGGGCACCTCTGGCTGGATAAAAGAATGGAAATGACTGAGTACGTCTGAACGACGGACAGAAATGGAAGAAGGGAAGATGAGCGTGAGGGTGGGTGCTGAGTAATGACACATTTATTCACTTGACTGCGAACAAGCAGGAAATGGACTTCTGTGAGAACATGTAAGGGACATACTGTGAAAAGGGGGCATTATTCACTAAATTGTGTCTGTAGACTGAAATGCTTCCATTTTCTAACTGTGAGATCTGTTGTTTCGTACAAAAATGACTCCATTTCAATTTCAGCACAAAAAGCTATCTATAAAGTAAATTGTATATGTTTGTCTCTGAATCCAGTATTTTCAGTGACAGAACAGAAACATTTATATTGCGGGTCATGCTCTTTTTAATATGGAATATGACTACGAGTATACAAGCATAAAACATGAGCTGTATCAGTCTTTCATTTGGACTATTTGCCAACCACAGCATGATGCAGAATTTGAATAATGAAACTACTGGTGAAGTCCTGCTGCGCTGATCTCTTCATTTCAGAGAGTGGAGGGTTACAGGGGAGCTCTGGGAAATGAGAGGACAGAAAGCTACAACCTTGAAGTGGAGGCACTGAAAAACTCAGCCGTGTATGTTTTGGAGGATTCGGTGTGTCTGGGAATGGAGTATTTCTAAAAGAGCCATGAGAGTGACAGAATCCACTGGTCCACTTCAGGTGTGATCAGAGTGCTCCATCATCCAATCAAAACATGATGCACTAAATGGCATCCTAAAGTGACTCAAGGTCTCTCTCAAAACCACTAAAAGAAGTCAGTCGATAGATGCCCATGATCTATCAGGATCACTGTTTAACTGATAATTGTATAAGTACAGTTGTATAAAGTTGTCTAAATAAGGATGCTCAATAGTGTTTTGAAGAAATTGTTGGACGTGTGACCTCTTTAACTTTTTATCACCTACAGATTAACTAAAGATTTCTTTTTGGTGCAAATGTTACACACGCACGCTCGCAACAACGTGAACATTGCTGTCGGCTTGGAGTGTGATCGACTGTTTGGGGGATATTTTTTTCTTACCGTGCCCACGTGGAGGAGCCTGCTGGGAAATCATCCCCTGTTGTCTGCGCAAATGGCAAAGATGTAGATGATGTAAGAAGACAAAAGTGCACTTGACAAAGCACACTTGTGTTTACTAACCCTGCTGAGACACAGGAAAAAAGGTGCACAGGAACATGGCAAACAACTGGGTTGCTTTTTGATTATTCTACTTTCGATTCAGCAACCTCTGCAAGAGATACAAACATTTTGATGAGATGATGATCTACAGTGAGATATGCCCTGTATATTTAAATTATGGTGCATCGAATTTAAATACTAGTAACTTTTTGCAGCTGAAAAGGTCCAATGAAGACATGGCCATGCTTCACATTGTGTTTTGCGTCGCGCCTCAGATCACACAGTGCAAATGATCAAATAAAAGGGCATTTTGGCATTCTATCCTCTCTTAGTCTCATTCTAGATTTTTTGTAAAAATCAAATTGAGAACAAAAATAAATAAAAGAGTACATTCAATAAACATAATGATGTTGTTGATCTCAGATGGTACACTGTCCTTAACACAGGTCCACTCTCGATGCCAAAGCTTGACAAATCACCAGAATAATCTTTATTTTCCAAATCTCGCTTAACCAGAACTATCCTGACTATGTCCTGATATTGCTGACTTTTCCATCAAAATATTCTTGTAAGGGGAAAATGTATATAGGATTGTTTTTGTTGCCTTTTTTATTATTAATGCCCCTAGAACAAGTGGAGAAGTTCTTTTTTCTTTTAAGGATCTTTACCAATAGAACCCGTAACAGATTAGGTTTCTTTGATTCAACAAATGTATCTTCATATGTTTAAGTCTGTCAGCGTGTGTTTGTGCATGCGTGTGTGTGTGTGTGTGTGTGTGTGTGTGTGTGTGTGTGTGTGTGTTTGTGCACATTTATGTTGGTCTGGTAAATTTAGTTATTTAGTTGGCACAGATAGCTAGAGTCTCAATTTTAATTGCTAACAAAGGAGTAATGAGATCAATATGACGGAAATTGGACCTTGCTAATAATTGTGCTTACCTTCGAAACCAGTGTTAATGTCTATCTATACGCTTGAGAATACAAGGGTAAGGTATTCCTTGTTATTGTGGCTTCAGTGTCTCATTTCCAATGTATATTGTTAACATATAAATAATACTGAAAACCATATTCAGTGCTCTGGGAGATTAAATTAACACCTCATCCAAATCTACGACAACAACATCCTAACAGTGAAAGGGAACTGTTGCGGAGCAGAGTAATCTATCAACAACATTGTTGGTTAGCTTGGTTCCAGTGGCAATATGCTGTCATATTAGCTTTCTGGATGTCAGAATGTGATGCCTCAGAGGGAGATCAAGGCTGTATCTCTTTCAGAAGAGCTGCAGCTGGATCACTGCTCAACCAAACAAAAATAATGCACATGAATAAAAATGATGATACTGTTAGCGATGTGTCACCTCCAATAATACGTCTTGTGTCCTTGCAGGACTGCTGTCTGTGCATCAAGGGACACTGATAAATATGTTCCTGCTTCACAGAAATTACAACTGTCATGCTTAAGATACAAAGCCCCATTGCAGTTATTTTTTTACACGACTTTGGTATTGCTGTGGTCGCTTTTGTTCTTTTGAATACAGAAATCTACTCTCTTCATCTATGACTCATTGATCCTTAAATCCCATGAATGTACAAAAGAACTCGATGGTTTCATTTTGCAGGTGATCACCTCTCTCGATTTCAAGTATACCCTTCAGGGCCAGAGAGCCCTCTCTGAGAACCAGCAGATGATTGTGTTTTTTCCATACAGGGCAGGCAGTGGGATTACCTACACATTGTCCTCTATATAGGCCTACAGTATAGGCTATTATGTGGACACCACTGAGTTCCAGGTTGTGCCACCGCCCTCTGGCTGCGCGCGGAATAGTTGCAGCCTCGGACGGTTTCAACGCGGAGCATTTCATCCCTGAAGCTCGCCTTTCTTGTCACTAGTGCTACTTGCATGCGCGGACGCAGCCAATCTCTTCCTCATGACGCCACCGAGGCTGGGCTCAGATGGCTTCGATCATAATATTTAACAGACCCACCCTGGATGAACACTTGGAAGGAAGTCAAGGCGGCGTTGACAGGACGAATCACGACCAGGATCCGAGCACCTGCCGGCCGCCGGGCTCTTTGCTCTCAGCGAGGCTCGCAGATAGCAGCAGCTTTCTGGAGAAGTGGGGCAGCATCCAAGCATCTCGCCACGGATGACCCGTTCTGCTGTGGGGATATTCATTTTTTTCCTTTGTGGTTGTAAAAGTCATTGTAAACACACCATAGTGTGTGTTCCTATAGGAAGGCTGATTTTCTTGCGAACTAGGTGAAATCAGCCTCCACTGTGACTTTTTTTTTCCTGCTTTTGCCTCTTTAACACAGTTATGCACGTTTGACACCTCATCCAGGCTGACAGCAACACGAGGAAGCAGGTTTGAGGAAGTCTATCGATGTTTTTAACGGGACCTTACTCCCCTTTGCTGCATCTACCGAACGATTTTTCTCATTTTTTTTATTCATCCATCTGACATAACAGCAGGTTGTTTAACAACGCGACAAACGAGGAGCACTTTTTAAACCACCGTCCGCGAGGTGTCCAGTTTTCACAATGGGTCGGTTCATCCACCTGTCGGGAAATGAAGAATTTCAAAAGATTGTGAGAAATAAAGACTGCCAAACGCGATGGAGTTTTTAACACAGGCTGCTCGTTATGTTTGACTTGCTCATAGAAAATCCTAGTAATATCACAGCCTCTTCATAGAATAAATCTAATAGACATCAATGTCGCTGTCATAAGGTGCGCTGCTCTTAAAGCTTTGCAGGCTGCTGTGCGTAAAGAAAAGACAAATTCAGAACCATGATATTGTTTCGCAAATTCAGAGTGCTGATACTTATGGTGTTTTTGGTCGCGTGCACCATGCACATCATGATAGACTTGTTACCAAAGCTGGAGAAGAGGGCGGCCGGAGCGGAGCGCGGGGAGCCGGGCTGTGAGTGCGCGCAGCACGCGGGCGCAGAGGCGCGCGGCTGGGGGAAGCAGCGCGCCAGGTCTGCCCCCGAACCGGGCTGGCCTAACAAGCACACGCTGCGGATCCTGCAGGATTTCAGCAACGAGCCCAGCTCCAACCTCACGTCGCACTCCCTGGAAAAGATAACGGCCGGGGGGGGGGACTCCCCCGGGCGGATGAGGCAGTCGGCGGGGAAAGCGGAGGACCACAAACCGCTCATAGGGGACGCGAGCGGGGGTCGGACCGTCCCTGCCCACAGTGTTTCCCCACTGTCCGCTTTGTTTGAGCATCCTTTATACAAGGTTGCCCTTCCTCCCCTCACTGATGATGACACTTTATTTAATGTCAACACTGACATCAGGTTCTATCCCAGAGCCACAGGGGACCAAGGATGGTAAGATTATGAGAATTAAACCTCAGGGTTTTAGAGGCAGAAATCAGCAATATTTTTCATTTATATATGTTTTGATAAGGATTGACTGTTGTATTTGTTTAAATAATAAGTTGTCAGAATCACACTTAATCTATTAGTGGAGACAGTTTTAGTGCCTGCTTGTGCTATACCCAATACAATTACGTTCTATTCCAGCTACCATCCTACATCACAGTTTCTTCCTTAAACCTTGCCCTCTTTTTCTCATCCTTATTCCTTCCAGGCACAATGATGAAGGGAACGAGGATGAGGATGTGTTCACACCCACTGAGGAGCGGACGGCAGAATCTTACCCCAACTGGCTGCGTTTCCACATAGGAATCAACCGTTTTGAGCTGTACCCCAGACACAGTCCTGTGCTGGACTCTCTGCTGAAGGACCTGGTCACTCAGAGGATCACCAGCGTGGGTGAGTCAATCAGACAGAGTCATGTTAAGGGTAGGCAATTTAGGAGATGGTGCGATTTGCTGGCCAGTGAACAGGGATAATAGCTTGACATGTTTACAGATATATAGGGGATACTGGGATTTATTGCTGTCAAAACCAGCAACAGCCTTCAAGCCTTATTGTGTATCCTGTATAGTCTTCTTGACAGTAAAAGTCTTAGATATAATATGTAATTTGATGTAATGTAATAGAATTTTGTGAGGTCTTTCCCTTTATCCTACTTTTATTAAATAATTTGCTAATTGAAGATGTCCATTGAATATTCTCATTAAGAGTAAATATCATGGTATTTTCCAATAGAAAAGATGAATAAATTCACAATAATGATTAGTTTTCTTGCCTACTGAGCCAAAAAGTTAGCATAAAATTTTCTTAAAGTGTAATACTGCGGATAATGAAAATTAAGATGGTGATGGGAACCTTTGGGGTGGTTGAAGTAGGAATGACTAAATAAATGTCCATGCAGGGTATATCAGTCAGGGTTCTGTTTTTCCTTTTTCATTTAGAGAAACGTTCACATTGCAACATGAACAGCTTGCCGTTGGCAGCATCTTTGTTCCATATTTGTAGCATTTCATGTGAATCATAATAATCACACAGTGAGGTGGAAAAAATACACTGACAATCAAGAGTTCTGTCTCTCTTTTAATCCACAACTGGTCCCAGTGCTTAAAAATATGTCATGTCTCTTGTTGTACTTATAGTCAAGGACCAAAAATGGGTCTTAGACATTATATATTTTTTTTCTTTTAATGCTATATGTCAATCGGTATTCAGTCAGATGCCTGTTTTAAGACAGCTGGATGTGTTTGTTGGGCTGTTATCACTGTGGCTAAGTTCTACTGAGGAAGTCCTGCCAACAATTATTTGCACAATGCTTTGTGTAAGAGGTATACTTTCTTGAGCATTTCCATTTTTCTCCCGTGTTCTTTTGCTACATGTGATCATCAAAAGGAAAAGTACAGTGTTTGCATCATTGGAGGCATGTAGTAATGTGCCCCACAATTAGGACAGGCTCTCAGCACTTTTCTGTCTCACTAAAATGAGAAAACAGATACAACATAGCAAAGTTTCCATCTTCAGCATTTTCCCTTATACTCTTCCTCATTCTATGTGTCTGTCTCTGCTGGGGCAGGCTGCAGCCTTTTGTTCATGCTTCAGCTTAACTCATAAATCACACGTACAGGAGCACGCGGAGGCACACATGAAAGAGGGATGAATTTATGATCACAGCGCGAGAGGGGGACTCTGAAACTGGTGGGCGATGCCTGCAGCTCTCTCACAGAGGAACAAACAGGAAGGTGTAAGAAAGAAAACTAGGAGTTGATTTATTTAGGGTATCTGGAAGAAACATTGCAGCATAGGCGGTTGGATGAAGAACAGCATATAAACAAATTGGAAAGTCTAAAAAATGCCTTTCTGAACTTTGTAGTTGGAGTCATGTGTGATTACATGTCAGCCCAGATACAATCCAGAGAAACAATCAGATAAGCCTCAGCGGGGCTTTTCAGGGAGGATTACCTTTTATAGTTTTCAAATAGAATCCAAAATTGTCAAGGCTAGCACTGAGCAGTGCACTGAGGTCAGTTCCTTGAAAAGCTTTGCTTATGTGTCCAAGATCATAACTTTAAACATAGTTCAGCTATCGTCGGTATCTTGAAGGTTTTAGGCTTCCTGTATAGATGAGTCAATTGTAAAGATTACTTCAAGGGATTACTGTGGAACACCATCCACTTGACCTGCCCTCAGTAAATCTGATAAATGTGTAGGCCTAATACGCTCTGTTCACTGGTTTTTCTCTCTCTGTCTGACAGAAAAGACAGTGTACTCCAGGTTATGTAGGTGGTGCTGTTGTGTGTGACAGTCTGCGAACAAAAAGAAAAGAAACGCAGAAGCTTTTGAAATGAGTCACAGTGAAAGGGGTGGCTTGCCGGCACTGAGTAAGATTAATCGAGACAGACAGAGCATAACAGAGAGAATCTGTGAATACAAGGATGACATATACAAACAAAAGACGGAAAAAATGTCAGAAACTGACTGTGAGAGCTCTTGAGACAAAACTGCAAGGCAGGCAGTAAATACAGCTCAATGCAGGGGTTAGAGTGCAACCAGCATCTCGGGCAGAAATCCAGTCAGTAAAATGGGTCCTCCACAGGGGGCTTACGCTGATATTGGGGTTAGGCAGAAGCGCTGTTGTGTAATATGCTCAAGTTAATATGCTGTAATAAATGGATAAATCCCCTAAAAGCCCGTCTATTGTGAAAGAAACACAGGGCATTTAGACCGGGCTGGCGGTCCCTTTGTCACAGAGTCACAGAGGGGCAGGAAGCTCACAGTCAGTCTCCATCACCCTCCAGGAGACAACATGGACATGACTGATAGTCGGAGACATAGGGCTTGGCTCCACTCCCTGTGGGCGAGACGTCTCAGAGAATGTGCAATCAATGAAGACGTACAAGGAAAATACCACTTCTCTCAGAGCCACTTCAACTGTTCATAAGATCCATATATGCTACTAGAATTCACAGTCCTTACATTTTTTCAGAGAAATCTTTACTTTTGAGGCCTATCATGCATTTAACCCAGGACTAACCACGGGAGCAATTCTCAGTCAGCTCTGTAACTGCCACCATTTCCCTTTAACTGTGCCCGTGTTTGGTAACATGGTCAGCAGATGTGCAAACTCTGTCATGCAAAATTGCATATTCCACCCTGGCAAATGGCGGTTTTACATATGTGTGTTTTACATAAGCCTCTGCGTGTTTATGCTTTAGAGTTCAGTCAAACATCTCACTTATTTTTTTTCTGCCAGCCATGAAATCAGGAGGCACCCAGCTGAAGCTCATCATGACTTTCCAGAACTACGGCCAAGCACTGTTCAAGCCTATGAAGTAAGTAACACAGCAATGGACTGCATGATTTCACAGGTAAAACTCAAGATAGGTTCAACTTGGTTACAGTGGGCTACACAGCTTGAGTTTCTATTCATTACGTCTTATATTAAGATACTCTAGTCAAACATCATTCATCAGTTTTTCTTAGCTTTGAATTTTTTTCTGAAATAATCTCATTTGAGGTTTCTATGTGATGACTGCAAAGAGTCTTGTGGAAATAATTGCAAAGACTTGTTTTTGCCTCTTGTGCTCTTCCTACTATGTGATCTTTTATGGTGGGGAATTGTCCGTCTGCTTTTTAATTAACATCAACAGACTTATGTGTTAATTAAGATGAGCATTGAGCCATCATGAAGAAGTCTTTAGGGAGGCATACATGCTGGCAAAGGCAGACTGCACTTGAAAAAGAAACAACTTCCCTCTCAGCTGTCTAAGTTTTCTTGATGAATTCCCATGTCGGGAATAGATAAACAGTGTCCAGGTCAACTGGGCTGCAATCATAAGTAATTGCTCATGACTCTGGTTTGATTGCCATGAAATGCAGAAAGGTTTTCTGCATGAGAGCCCCTGAGGAGAGTATTAGATTGTGGGAGGGAAAGGGAAAATGAAGGAGTGAAAGAGGTTAAACAATAAAAACAGTCCAAGGCGAGTGAGTCTTTGTAGTTTTTTTCTGCTTGTGGGATTAGTGAGGGAAGCTTTTGAAACCTAGAAATATTTGTAACCTGACATCTGTGCCTGACATAGAATGTAATGGTTCATTTTTAGCATCAAAAGCCCATTTCTGTATCGCTCAAAGTTACGTGATGGTAAAGAAAACAGAGAATCGGACACATTTTCCTTTATGTTTTCAGTGAAGAGTAGTAGTACCCATTCACATCCGTATTCCTCCTCATTTCAAGGTCAGTTAATGGATATTAGAACACCAGGCATTATTACCCCACTGACAACACAAAATACAGTTCAGCCTATGGCAACTCAAGCATGTCATGCAGACCTTTCATGTCCACAACAACACCCAGCAGATATAATCAACATCATCTGACAAGACCTGAGGCTAACCTGAATTTGTATCTGCCCTGGTGATTCATGTGTAGACTATGAGCAACACAGACGATATGATAATACGTGTCTATGCAGGATTGATTGGATTTTAGTTCAACAGTGGTGAGACGGTGGGCTACAGAAAAATGCTTCTGGGCTGGTCTGTTACTGGGAAACAGTTGTTCATCTTCAGTAGTGGAACAGTGTCTTTTTATGTATGCGTACATTCAGTTTTGTCAGAGAGATGAGTGGAAATCAAGTCTTTTCTATAAATGACTATCTAATGAACTTAAGTAAAGCAATCGGACAAGCTTTGTGGAAAAATTAGATGCTGATTGATTATGAATGAATGATTACATTGAAAATGGACAAAAAAATATAGCCACAACTATATGTAATACTGTTCAAGAAATTTCATGAATGCAAAAGAAAAGTTCTGATTTCTATCTTTAATCATTTTCACATGTTGTTAGAAATGGTTTTAACAGTAATTACATGTCAGTCTCTGAATCAGAAACCACAGAATCCTACTGGTCTTTGTGAAGCCTGTCAGATTTAATTAAAGCTTCTGAGTGCAGGCACAGTCATCTGTCTGCAGAGTTTACAGATACTAAACAAAACTCCTCAGAGTAGAATTACAAAAACAAAGATTTCTGTGATATACAATATAGAAAAAAAGCTTTGTTCTGCTTCTGTTCAATCACATTATTGGCTTTGGTTGTTCCTGTTATATTCATCAGTCCGACTTTCATTGTAGGAATTATGGTGCATTCTGGGTACAGTAGTTCAGAGCTTCACTCTGTTGTTATATTTGTTCTTCAACCTTTACTGCTCTGCATTATCTTAAGGTGGCCCAGAAAAGCTTAGATACTTTAGGCATCTTTTGTAATGGCCTTTTTTCCATGACAAATATGATCCCGCATAATTTTTTGACAAGTTATTCTCTGATTTTTGTGATCGATCATTCTTGAAAACCTTTCAGACATATGCAGTTATTCTCTGTGGTGGTCATTGTAAACCATTTCTACAAAGCACGACATCACATATAAATAAAACCAAAGATTTTTTAAAAAGTGAGGAAATCTATTCTGAATGCAGTTTTCTCAGTTCACAATTTCTGAAGCAGTGAGTAGAAGCAAACTTTGTGGCAAAAATGATCAAAAGCTGATGGATGTCGGAAAAAGTGCCATGTAAACAGACCAGGCACTGATTCTGGAAGACAGATAAGAGGCATATATTGTCCATTGGGATGGAGAGAACTGCCAGCTTGTCAAGGATCTGGGTCTTCCAGCTAGAGCCAGGTTACAGGCCGGGTGGAGGCATCCCCCTGCCCCTCTTCCAGATCTTTCTGTTCTATCTGGCTCACATATCTGGTACTCTTACTTTATTGCCAAGTCCCGGGTTGTGGTGTGTGCACATCTTCTCATGGATTTGTCAGTTAAGAGGCTGAGGGTTTGACAGAAGAGGTGCAAACTTCAGGTATGCAAATGACGAGCTCTAATACGTATAAAGACATACAACGTACTGTGTAGCTATACGGGGCATACATGTCCAACCTGTATCAATGAAAGGAATCACACTTCTTTTATTTACAGAAATTGAATCGGTTTTGCTTCTTGAGCTACAAAAATCCACTGTGCTGTGAAATGAGAGACTGTCTTATGGATGTGCCTTGCTTGAGGATCAAGGTGAAAGGCCAGAGGAAAACAAAAAGCTTCAAGAGAACTAAGGCTTATTATAAAATCCCAGCCAAAAGCAGGGCAGTGCCAGAAACAAAGAACACTCTAAAGTAAACTTGAAAAAGAACACTAAGAACTAAGAAGCAAACCTGGAAGAAGGAACAAAGTCGTGGATACACAAGAAAGGAGAGGACGGCAGCCATGACAAGCCGAGAGTCAGTCACATGAAGGAACTGGGAAGCTTATAGCGAGGGGAGCGTGAATACTAAGAGAAAGCCAGGTGAGGAAAGTGGATGAAGAGGACCACTAGAGAAGACTGAGGAACATGAAAGTGGCAAATACACCCAAGGAAAACACAGGGCACTGAATGAGTCGCCGCAATAAAACACAGGAAGCTAAGTTAAACTAAGCAACAGGAAAGATGAGGAAAGCTCAAAACTCAACCTGAAAACATAGGAACAAACAGAGAGAAATTAGCAGAATCTACAGAATATAACAAACTGTTTAATTTAATTCAGCAACCACAGGCAGTTTGTTAGCAGAAGGCCATTAGACCCCACCAGCATGTAACCTTTTATGTCCATCGTTGTTGGGTTATATTATAACTGAGACATTTCTGTATGGAAATGCATGTAAAATCAAATCAGGACTGAGGTTGTATGATCAGGGGGTAACACCTGCCCACAGGGGTTATGGATCTTATTGTGAAATATGTTCTTATTTATTGATTTTCATGTAAAAGCTCATGATGAGTTATGGTTTCTATAATAATTTTTATCCCGCAGGGCTCATTCTGCAACTGCAAAAGTTCCCTCCATGCAAAAATCTTGTGTGTGTAATCTGCTTTGACTACATGTAAATCATGTAGCGCTATTCAGATAACAAACATCTGTGGACCCAGTAACAATAAACCAGAAATCTAATTAACTGGCTTACATGCAGTTGATAATCATTAATAGAAACCCAATAAAATCAAGTTAAGGATAATAACCTGACTTTATCTCATGGCTGTAATTGAGTGTAAGTGTATATTTTAGAATCAGGCATAAAAAACATTTGGACAAGTCAGGGCATTCATTTAAAAGCAAGAAACACAATGTCTCCACATCTACAAACAGCCTCCCCATATACAATATACTGGCTCTGTTTAAAGTCCGAAGGCAAAAATGTTAACATTTAACTCAGTGATTTAACGGGATTTCCCAAAAGATTTCCCACTCAAACCTTTCCAATGCCTCGGGCTGTCATAGAGTGAACGCGGTTTTAAGGCGCACTATCTAAGCTCCAAATGCGTGCACACACTCAAAAGAGGCGTGTTACTATAGACAGCTGTTCGCACAGCTGCGACACAGGCATATACGTACTTACAAGCTGCAAAGAAAGGATTCTGTTGGGGTTACGGAGTTCGTGCACCCTTCACCCCCTGCGGCTGGTGCTGGAAAATGAATGAGCAGAGAGCCAAGCTGAAAGTGTTGCAACTCACTCAGAGCTGTGGGTCTGTTATGCAGGATGTGTTAAGTGTGAGTTCACGCTGCTAAGAAATTCCAAAGACAACCAGCTTACTCAATGACAACTACTCACCATTTAACATTTCCCTAATTATGCTCCATTGCACAAGTCCAAAAGCCTAAAGCGTGCAAATGAAGTGTTAAATGTTCTCACATTAACATCCTCTCCGTCTAGTCTAGTCGAGATGTTTTTAATCTTTGTGACCTGGATCTTCCATACTATGAAAAGCTCCAGCTGAATTGCAACATCCATCTTTCTCCCCTGCTGATGGGTTATGTAAACTTTTACAGCATGATTTTCGTGGCTTAATCAGTTTTTCTATTTGAAAGCTGTTTGGCAGGGAAAGTCTTTAGCTTTCCAGCGACGGCTGATGTGCTATCTTTGCTGCCAGGGGACAGAGCAGCAACTCAGGATGCCAAGCAATTTGTCTGTTCAAATCAATGACAATCATCCGTGAAGCAGGTGGGGTTTGTTCATGAGTAGGAACAGAAATTGGAGGCTTTAAATTCAAAGGAAGTTTTTTTCATATATGTGTTTGTTCAAATGGGTGTTTCTCACCTATTTTTTCTGTAGTATCCCTCATTCCTTCCAACAAAAACATGCAGAAAAATGCTAAGTTTTATAATTTGACTCAGTATATCTTGACCAAATGTCCTCCTCAATGATGTCCAAGTACTGTTCCACGTAATGGAAAAAAATAGTAATGTCATGCATCATAAATACAAGTTAAAACTCCAAAATGGCCAGCTCAGTCAGAGGATCACCGCTCTGA